CACGAATTCGGTCTTTATGCCGTGGAAGATGAGGAGGGCGAGTGTGGAGGCGAAGAGAAGGCATCGGAGCCTATTGTGGCAACCCAGCCGCCCTCCCGTCGCGATCGCGAGTCTGCCTTGCGATCGATCAGCCCCCTGCAGGTGGACACAGGCGGTATCCCGCCCATGTCAGCGCCCGCCAGCCACACAAACAGTAGCGGCGACAACACCCCACCACGATCGATGCTCATGCGGCCCTCTAATATCTGCCGGCCGGGCAGTGCCCGTGTGTCTGTGTCAACCAGCAACAACAGCTCGGCGATACAGTCGCCCACCTCTTCTGATCTGGGCAAATCCCTCTCGCGCATCACTGTTTCATCTCTGGTAGGGGCATATCCCTTATTGTCTCCGTGATTGCATTCATTTTTGTCCGCCAATTTGTCTTGCCCGGGCGTGTGAATGCGCATAGGTAAAACCTCTCGTGCTTAATAAGATTCATTTGAAGATAGACATATGCTAGTGAGAGGTGATATCCAAGCGAGTCAGGTAGCCCATAGTTGCCTGAAGTACATAAAACTGTTAAGACAAATAGTTCGGGCAGATAGTATTAGCGGCAAAGACAAGGGAGACTGGAATGACCATTTTTGGCTTATTAACCGTCGTCAGCCAGTCATACCCAGACCCAAATAGCGTCCCATCCGAGCTTCGAAGTCGCGACCTCTTTTGATCAGCGTCAAACGCCCTAACCATTGAGCCACGAGCTCGCTGCCTTGCCAGCTTGGGTCAGGGGATATTGACACTCGCTGATGAACGTTCGCCTGACCGCTAACGGAACTCATCTGCCCCGTTCTGCCTGGGATCTCGACAGAGCCCCTGACAGCCGTAGCAGATGGTAGTGTAGGTAGGTAGCATTGCTGACAAAGGCAAGGGAAACTGAAATAGACAGGCGAAGCGGGACAGGCGAGTTCTGTTAGCGGTCGGATGAACGTTCATCAATGAGTGATAAATAGTTCACTTTTATACTTCCAGAGACAATGAGAAGACGTGTCCGACGTACTCAAGCATGCTTGCTTGAATCACGAGCTCGTTGTTGTAGCATCGTTACTGAACACTTTGACTGCGACTCTCAAAATAGCCTGTATGCCCCTGGGGCGGCGTTTTCGAACCTGCATTACTTTAGGCCTAGACGTGTACCATATATGGCGCACGTCGCAGTTTGGAACATCATTGCATGTACCACATATGGCGCACGTCGCATTCAAAGTGTTACGGCCTGCTCTCCTCTCGGTGACCTTTATTACAACCGCCGCACGCATCTTGTAGGACATTCCGCCTGCGGTCGGGAAGTAGACTCTCGCTAGTTTATGTAGCTTGTTGTTGAGCCACGGGCGTAGAGTTTGACAAGTTTATGCGTATAAGAAAGCCTAGTCCGTAGTATGTCCGGCTCGGGGGATTTTTTATTGCTACTGTTATCACCAGTGGTAGTATTAATAATTGTTACCCCTCTCGGAGTGCGTACTCTGGTCTATTTATTTGTGCACAATTTTTGTTTCCTGTACGTCCGTAGGTTTGGTAATAGAGTGCACTTATCAGGGGTTGATTGGGACTTCTGTTGCGTAGTTCATGGCTGCTACTGACTGTTGGTGGTTTCCACCGCCACCACCACCACCTTTGCAACAAAGTCCGTCCACTGGCTTTCTTTTGACCTGAAGAATGAATTGCACTACATACCTGGCTCCTCTGCCATCAGCTGACACACTGGTAGGCACTTTTTAAAACATAACCTGGTACAGCAGGCTGCGGCAATTCTTTGAAGTGACTTTTAACTAACACGTCGGGCATTAGAATGCACGCACGCGCGCTGTTTCGTTTCTTGGGCCTTAGACGTAACAGGCTGCCTCCTGCAGAAAGTACATTTGCTTTTCTAGAGTGCCCATGTGACCTGGAAGTGTCCACTGCTTCACTGTATTTAATTAGACATTAGCAAATTGGATTCTGAGGACGCTTCAGGAGGAAATGCTTGTGTACGCCTGAAGGCGCATTTTGGGCCCGTGGATCTCTTCAAGTGCAGTGTGCTCTTCAGTGGAAGACGACGAATACTTCCATATTTTGCCAAGTATCCGCGACTTCCTACCCGGTATGACTAAGCTGTCGATGTTTAGTGTATGTTTGTGTGTGAGTGACTGAATGCTGTGCCCTCTAAACGGGCCGCGTGGTTGTTGTTGTACTAACTTACTCCCTTAACCTAGTTTGCCAGAAATACATGGTATAAAATGTTTAAGAAAAGATAAGGAATAAAGATGAGGTATACATTTTTTTTAGAAAGACGAAGGAATTCGGCGACCTAGTCTGGGCGAAGCCATAGGTCCTCAGGTGTGAGGTCCGTAGGGTTGACCGGGCAATCGAAGAGATAACACGTTGTGTGGG